TAGTCTTGGGACGCCACTTCCAATTTAGTCCTTCATACAAATAATATTTATATGGAAATCGAATTAATGCAATGGCGTCACTAGATATAAATTAGACAAACGTTAATCATCTTAGTCACCATACACACATGACCGTGGGCAAGACAGTGTTACAGACGCTGGTGATCACTCGCTGTTTTTATAACTACATTATTAACCTCACCAAACACAACCGGTCTTTAAAACCTGCACAGGTTCTTAAAGTTATTAAATATAAGAAATAATAGTTTTATTATAAAGATTGTGGACTTAATTGAGTTAATAATATGGTTGTGTGGGCTTCAGGGGTACAGCGCTCAAGAGGCAGTTTGGTCATGTTGTCTGGGTACAGTTGGTCTCGAGGTACAGTACTTCGTCAGGGTTCTCCTCTGGGTGCTGGCTGATGTTTACCCTCACTCATCTATGTCAAAAAAAATATACATGGACTCCAACCCTTTATTTCTCTTGGTTTTTCTTTCCATTTTTATACTCTACTACATGCAACACACAGTACAGTCGGTGGTGGTGTTGAAATGTGTTTGTGGTTTTGTGTTTTTCGTTCAGGACAAATATCTCCCGTAGAGTAAAATGCGTCAAGTAACTCAGGCGCACTATTCCAGTTAATTGTTTGCCATTGTTCTGCTGCAAGACGATGATGATTTGTTTTTGCTATAGAGGACGAGTTACATGCAATTATAGATGACGAGGTACATGTAATTATAGATGACGAGTTACATGCAATTACTGTATACGAGTTATATGCAGTTATAGAGGACGAAGGACACGTAGTTATAGAGAACGAGTTACCCGTAATAATCGATATGTTCTCAAAGGCTTGTGTATAAAGTTGTCATGGGAGCTCATGACTCCTGGCCAAATACTGTGAAATAAACATCATTGGGGATGGAAATGTAACGCGTAGGTGAGTGTGGATGGCTGCAGGCTGGTGGTAGTGTGAGGAGGACCCCCCTGCCCTGCCCTGCCCTGCCCAGCCCAGCCCACCTGCCCTGCCCACCTGCACCGCGCCTTACATAGATGACCAGGTTGTTTGTAGTCAGCTGGTGCTCTCCTCTACTGTCCTTCCACCCACTGACCGCAGCCTATCGTTCGTTCGTGTGTGTGTGTGTGTGTGTGTGTGTGTCAAGTTATCCCTCCCTTCACTAGGTACACACAGACTCTGCTCTCTCTCTCTCTACCACTTACCATAGTTCCTCACCTGTAGGTCATAGACTGACGGTGAGAGCCTCGGTGGATATCAGACTGGTTATACCTACAGGAGTGTTATTGAGTTTTTATTTACCGAATTAATGTTTCCTGTTTCAAGATTCAGTAGATGTATTTAGTCTTGGACGAATAGAAATTACGCATTTGAACAAAGGAGTTTATAATTGATTAAGTATTGATTGTACATAGAAATAGAAAACAATAATACTGGTTAATAATAAAGTCCTGTTGTTAATTTAGTATTGCATGGATAATTTAGATTTTCCTTCTGATTAATTGGATACATATTAAGTGTCGGACAACCTTCACTACGTTATCATTCTCGTCAGCATCCTTAATGAACGTGATCTGGTTGAGTGTGGCTGCGGAAATACCTGGGTGGGGGTGGGGAGGGGCAGGTCGCTCCTGGGTATTGACAGGGACGCTTTGGCTTCTTGTCTTGTGTGTGGGTGCTGGTGTTGACAGGGGAGGAAGTGCTTTGTTACGTGAAATGAAGCTGTTTTTCTTGCTTGTGAAGGAAGTGCGTTGTGTCTTTGAATAAAGTGTGTTTGTTGATTGTGAAGGAAACGTTGGATTAAGATGTGTTTGTTAGTATCCATAGATAATTATACATAATGTACTCCTAACTTTACACTGTTTTATTGGTATATATTTGAATGCCACAAGATTCATAAAAATCACATCCCAACCTAAGCACCATGTAGCCACCACCACCACCACCAACAACAGGTCAGGGTAGTGAAACAGACGTCAGGAGGTCACCAAAACATCACCCTTACACGAGAAAGAGTTGAGAAACTTCCATACGTTGACAGAAACTTGACTTCATGTTGACGTCACTCACACCACCTCCCATCTCCATTTACCTTTAAGATGTATTTTTTTTTCAGGATTTTTTTAGTGTCAGTTACAGTTCATAACATTACTTACTGGTTGGTGCATGAGAAATTTTCTCTTGGCCGTAGTTAAAGAGTTTTCCTTATCCATAACGTGTTCACGGTGAGCTGATTTGTGATTGGTCGACGCTGGACCATCGACTGCCTGCAGGGAGGTCAGTGAAGTCTACATTTTAGATCAGCTGTCGGCAAGGTTCTTTCCCCTATTTAATACGTAGGGAGATTGAGTCTTGGTTATGGCTGCATCTGAACTCCGTGTTGTCTGAACTTGGGCGAGAGGCGCCAATCATAACCCAGCATATCGTGTTTGCTGATGAGTAGCCTATATGAGTTACACCTTATCAAAGCCTTCAGTAGAGGAGAACTCATCATTATTTATTTGGCTTGAGTTAGCATTTATTTAGTTATTGATCCAAAATAATAATAATAAAAAAATATATCCTCTTTTTCTATTATTTTGCCAACATTTTCTCTAATATCTGGAATAATTTGTTTTTTAACGTCACATTATAGTTTAATAATTGTGTTAAATATCCCCTCGTTTCTTTTCTTTGGCTAACCTTTTTTGTAGATGTTGTAGGTGTCTCCACTTACCTGTCCAGAGGGAAGAAGATACTAGCTTCAGGAGAACACTTATTGACAGCCAGTTTATATAAGTTCGCTATTGCACAGATAGAACGGGCTCTCTCAGTCACCCAGTTGATGTAAAGACGAAGGTGGAAGATCACTTATCCTAATTGTAATGGATAATGTTAGTTCCCTCAGATGATGAATTAGGATAATGTTAGTTCCCTCAGATGATGAGTTAGGATAATGTTAGTTCCCTCAGATGATGAGTTAGGATAATGTTAGTTCCCTCAGATGATGAGTTAGGATAATGTTATTTCCCTCAGATGATGAATTAGGATAATGCTAGTTCCCTCAGATGATGAGTTAGGATAATGTTAGTTCCCTCAGATGATGAGTTAGGATAATGTTATTTCCCTCAGATAATGAATTAGGATAATGCTAGTTCCCTCAGATGATGAGTTAGGATTATGTTAGTTCCCTCAGATGATGAGTTAGGATAATGTTAGTTCCCTCAGATGATGAGAGAGGATAATGTTAGTTCCCTCACATGATGATTTAGGATAATGTTAGTTCCCTCACATGATGAGTGAGGATAATGTTAGTTCCCTCACATGATGATTTACGATAATGTTAGTTCCCTCAGATGATGAGTGAGGATGTTAGTTCCCTCACATGATGATTTAGGATAATGTTAGTTCCCTCAGATGATGAGTTAGGATAATGTTAGTTCCCTCAGATGATGAGTTAGGATAATGTTAGTTCCCCCAGATGATGAGTGAGGATAGCTGTTAGTTCTCTTCAGATGATGAGTGAGGATAATGTTAGTTCCCCAGATGATGAGTGAGGATAATGTTAGTTCCCTCAGATGATGAGTTAGGATAATGTTAGTTCCCTCAGATGATGAGTTAGGATAATGTTATTTCCCGCAGATGATGAATTAGGATAATGCTAGTTCCCTCAGATGATGAGTTAGGATAATGTTATTTCCCTCAGATGATGAATTAGGATAATGCTAGTGCCCTCAGATGATGAGTTAGGATAATGTTAGTTCCCTCAGATGATGAGTTAGGATAATGTTAGTTCCCTCAGATGATGAGAGTGGATAATGTTAGTTCCCTCACATGATGATTTAGGATATTGTTAGTTCCCTCAGATGATGAGTGAGGATAATGTTAGTTCCCTCAGATGATGAGTTAGGATAATGTTAGTTCCCTCAGATGATGAGTTAGGATAATGTTATTTCCCGGAGATGATGAATTAGGATAATGTTAGTTCCCTCACATGATGATTTACGATAATGTTAGTTCCCTCAGATGATGAGTGAGGATAATGTTAGTTCCCTCACATGATGAGTGAGGATAATGTTAGTTCCCTCAGATGATGATTTACGATAATGTTAGTTCCCTCAGATGATGAGTGAGGATAATGTTAGTTCTTCAGTTGATAAATTAGGATAATGTTAGTTCCTCAGTGTTAAAAAGTTGACCCCAGAAATATCGTCAAAGGTTTAATCTGACATTGGTTGAGGTAGTTAACTAGTGGGCAATAGCTTAGTAGTTTACATAATGTCTAGTTTGATTATAGGAAGGAGTCCTAAACATGGATTTGGTCTCCCAGTGATTGTTGTATTAGTGTTGGAGACAAATGGACGCTTAGAAGTTTGTTGAAGAAATGTGTGACTCTTTTATATAAACTGAGAGTGTGTAGTGATAGGTTAATGTCGGAGAGAGTTGTGGTAGGGGTGAGATGTGTGTGGATGGGTGGGTGTGGTAGGTAGTGGTGTGGTGGTAGTGGTAGGGGTAGGGTGGTTGTGGTAGGTGGTAGGTGGGTGTGTAGGTGGTTGTGGTAGTGGGTGTGGTGTAGGGTAGTGGGTGTGGGTGTTGAGTCACGGACATACAAGAGATAGGAGAGTTCTTGAGGGGAAAACATCCAGGAGGAAACATTTATGAAAACATGAACAGGGAAAGTTACTACATAGTTTGAAGTTGGTTCATAGTTTCTGTAAGTCAGGAAATTTAGTTAGAATAAAATTGTAGTCTTCAGAGGAGGGGAGGAGGGGGGTTCTCTGTAAGTATTATTGCTTAGTGTTGAAAACTGCTTCTGTTATCCAAGCTGTTATTGGTTCATTAGTCCCACTGTATATGATATTTGATTTAGGGACGATAGTGATGGTATAAGATAGGAGTAACCTTGTTCTACAGTACAGTAGGTTAGCTCCAGTTGGCCCAGCAGTGTCAGGGGCCTTTGAGACGATTTGAAAGCTTATTCATTACTCATTTTTTTCTCTTTTAGTTTTGGAACATCCTGAGCTTTTTGGGGGCGTTAGACGATTTCACGGTAAATATACCTAGTAATCTCTCTGGCTTCGTGACAACCATATCTAAATCTCCATGTTGGTTGCCTATGTCACCGGATAGATTTCTCTCCCCTCCCCCGTCGCCCGCACAGCGGTTGAATAACACAACATCCTCACCTGCTCTTTTGACTTGACTCTCAAAACGAAGACAAGGTGGCTAATTTTGCAGACGTAAATTGTTCCATTTAGGAACTAACATGTTCTCTTGTCGCAGTCCTCCCTTGGTTGGCATGTATTCGTGTTGTGTTGCGAGAGCCGCTGTGTTGGTGACGTCATAACCTGGCTTGACCGACCCCGCCCTGTGTTGCCTCCTTGATGACGGAAGATTATGTTTGCATTTTGTACCTGAAGGTGGCAGAGGAAAAGATCGTCCACGTCGGACACACATTCACCATAGTAATATATTCATTGATTTTAATCATTCTATTTGTAAAGACTTTAATTTGATCTTTGATATGTAGCTGCTAAAGTACTGAAGGTGGCAGAGCAGTCGGAAATTTTAATTTGTACACGACTGTTTTATTAGCAAGACTGCCACTCTGTTTGTGTGAGATTTTATTGTTATTAAAGTTTCAAGTAAGATGATTGGCCTTTTTTCCTACCACGTATGTTAGCGAGACAACTAACACGTAACGAGGTGTGTGTGTCCCTGTTGTGATAGTGGGAGATACTGAGACTGTACTGTAAGTACTTGCAACTTTACTCCAATTCATAGTTTACTGAACGGAATGCATGGTTTAGGATGCTTAATTTGCCTTCATCTCTTTCTTTAATTGACAGGTTGCTACCACCGATTACTTGTTGTATGTAAATTTAACATTACTCTTAGTTTATTTAATAACTTTCTCAACCGAAGCATCTCAAGTCAGTTATGTACCAAGGTGACGGTGAGTTAGTACTTGACTTTTAACACAATAATATATGATAATGATGCAGTGTAACCATGTAAACGCACAACACTACTGTCCACACTAGGGCGGCCAAGACAGTGTGTGAGAGAGGTTGGTCGCCTTGGGGGTGTTGGCAGTAGCGTTGTGATGCTCCGTGTAGAGTGGTGGGGTGTGTTGTTGCTTCTGCTAATACTACTGCTGCTGTGTGTGTGTGTGTGCTGCTTATCTGGCTGTTTATGCTGTTATTGCTGCTGCTGTTATTACATATGTGCAGACTTGTAGTATTAAGTTGTGGCCAGACTGATATCGTTCAACCATCCACCAAATGGGATTAAGATAATGTTCCCTTCAAGAGTGAAATAGTGAGCCAACTGTAAAATTTAGTTCCTTGTCTTACCTTTTGCAATACATTGACATACAAGAATTAAACCCTTAACTCAGTAGGTTTTACCCCTTGTGGTGGCGATTCAGCCGGCCTTGCCACAGGTCCATGTAGTAGGAGGAGGAGAGTAGGAGGAAGAGGAGGAGGAGGAGAAAGGAAGGGAAGGAAGAGGAGAAGGGAAGGAGGAGGGAGAGTTATTCAGACTCACAACTCACACGGTCATTGTTGTGTTTTGCCACCTCGGCGTACGTGTGAGGTGCGCCAAGTAGAGCCAAGCGGTGCAAAGCGGCACTTTACTATACCGCGTGCAACAATTTTTCATCGTTTGCAGTACGTGATCAGTGTGCCGCTGTACGTGATGTTCAATGTGCCGCTGTACTTGTTCAGTGTGTCGCTTATTGTTCAGTGTGTCGCTGTACTTGTTCAGTGTGTCGCTGTACTTGTTCAGTGTGTCGCTGTACTGTTCAGTGTGTCGCTGTTCAGTGTGTCGCTGTACTTGTTCAGTGTGTCGCTGTACTTGAGAATTACACTTTGTTTTGTCTCACTGCTTTCATAAGATCATCAGGCACCCCCACTCACCTTGCAAAAAAATATATATATATAAGAAGAGTGTCCTTTATATACCCAAGAACTAGTATGCAGTCAAATACTTGTACATTAAATTGTTGCTATAGTTTTAATATTTACGCTATGATAAACAAAGCTGAAGTACCGTAGCGTTGTGTTGGACGTGGTGCATCATTAGTTGCGAACCTCAGTCGGATCCTCAAAGGATTATACCATGAATATTTCCCGTAGCTGAAGATAAAGGATGAACTCAACTCTCACCCAAATTAGATATGATGGCATCAAAACTACACAGACAGTAGCAACAAAAAGGCGATAAATTTTAGGTAGAACGTTTTTGTTAGACATGTTCCCTTAACTTATTTTATCTCTTAACATTCGCTTATGAGGTTTCTAGTTCAAGTAATCTCAGTATAATTGTGATATATTGTGAGTTGCTTTAAATTAACTATTTAGACGTTTTCATGTATATGTACTTGAGTAAGACAATTGAACATCAGGACCATGGAGAAGGGTGATACCTGAGCCACGACTAACACCTTGACGCCTCTCTGTAATATGAAACAAGGAACGTGGTGTGAGGGTGTCAGAGGAGCAGTCTTCATCGGCCACCTTCATCAGATGGTGTACCTCGCTGGCTGTTAACATTACTTCACAGTGACTCACTTGTTGTAGCTTGCGTTAAGATGACAACGATATCATATGTTATTATACCTGGGAAGACGTTTGTGTTCCTCCTCACACCACAGGAAAAGTTTGATATTATACGCGGCGTCGTAGAAGAGGTGTGCGTCATGATAGTGTTACACCTGACGTACAGCCTCAGTAGACACTGTGTAGCTCTGAGTAAAACATTCAGTATACATTAATTAGTTGAGTTAAAGGTAGCTATGATGTAACGAGATACAGTTTAGTTATTATCGGTATTAGAGACTTAAGTTTCTTTATTTGTCCATTAATGAAGTTTGTGTTTATTGAAGCCAGACAGTCGATCAATTCTGTACTTAGATGCTAATTAATTTGCTTTATTATATTGATTCTGCCGTTTGTAATGGTTGACTCTGGCACATTATTATTTACCCAATATAAGAAGCAGACTAAAGATAAAAGTATACTGATACAATATTATAAAGTGAACAACATAATTGCATTTTGTCGCTTTTATATAACAAAAGTAAAGTTTTGAATCTACTCTATTAATCCTAAAGCCAATCCCACCTTCCTAAATACACACCTTGTGTTTACAGTACTTGGGAACAGTCATCCAGGTGCAGACTGGTTTGTCAACAAGTAGGCCGTGCTAGCCACACCTGGCCACATTATGTGAAGCCTCACCTCATAAGAGGAGAGGGTGGTGCTGTCTCTGAGGCAGCAGCTTGGCCAGGAAGAGGTGGAGGTAGGATGTGTGCAGGAGTGGGGTGTTAGGAGGGTGGAGTCAGGATGAAGGGATTTATGAGGCCAGGTGGTGCAACTTGCTAATCTCTTGCTTCTCCCTGCTGCAGGATGGCCTCCAGTCGATCCCGTCACCGATCTCGCCGCCCTCACCGGGACGACAGATAGAGGCGCCCCCGCCGTGCACGCAGGAAACGAAAGCTCTGGTAAGTCTTTATGCCTCTCTTCAGGATGGTGTTGTGTTGACAGAATCCCGTGTCCTCTTGCCATAGGGATAGCGCCATTGTAGCTTCCATTGTCATTATGGATTGGAAGGGAACGTCAGTCGCTCTTGACTACTATATTGGCGCTGTTCTTATGACACAGACCAGACATCTTATTTTTAACTAGTCGTCAGGATGCATTACCCAAGTGATGATGACATTATTTATGATGAACCGTTTATATCAAGCCAGGCGGTACAGAAGAACCAAGACTGGCGGCGTCACTCACTGACTTGGGGCCGAGTGTAATTTTAGATATCCGGGGGTCGTCTGGTTAATAGATTTGTATATTTATGTTCCCAGTCGGTATATGACCGGTGGATATGTGGTGTTAAACTAAGCGACCTGCTTCTGAAAGAGGAGGAAAATCCCTCATCCGAGTCGCAGTTTGTGGCAGTAGGGTTCATCACCGCCCTACCCAGCACCACTCACCATAGGACGGTCACCTTAACCAAGGACGATAAGCTCTAGATTAATGTCAGATCAAATGACTGTCTTGTGAAGGAGTGAATCCATTCATCTGACAGGACATTACCTGGGACTTGTGAAAATGGTGGAATGATCTCGCCGTCAGGAGGAGGGAGAACTCACTAACTGGGTCATGATATTAAACAGCCCCCTTGCACGCAGGGGGCAGATGGTGTAGTGTCCTCCCGACGTAGTGAGACTTAGACGCTGTTCATTGCTCGTGTTGGCGTTGTTTTAATGTTGTGGGTCTATAGTCATTTACTGTCTGGGATAATTTGCTGGGGAAACCTTCATCCCAAATAGGAAACAGCTGATGTAAATGACAGGTGTTGTATAATAGTGATGCTGGAATTCATCTGGACAGGATCAAGGAATTCCTAACAACATTTTAGTGGTGATGAAGTGGCCACGCTCTCAATTTGAAGAGTAATGGAACTAGATGATGATTCTTGACCTAACGTGACGTCAGCGCCGGCAGAAGTATGTAGTGTTATCAAAAATTTAATGATAGTCTTTGTTTCCAGCCTTTATGGCCGGCTTTGCTTATTGCCAGGGTTTATTCCTACTAGTTTTTCGTTATTTTTCCTGCTTTAAATACAATACTCACATCTTTTCCGCAAAAATGTAAACATATAGTAGATGATAGTGAAAGAGGGCGAGGAGAATTTTTTAAGTTTGTCAAATGAGGCTCTCAAGACCAGCGCCTAATAAGCCGCTGGGAGGTGAGGTGCCAGTAGGTTGATCATCAGTGGTTGTAAAGTGCAGTTCATTGGATCATTTTAGTGAGAGGTGATGTCGTTCACCTCTCGCGGTCACCGTTGTAATAACCTGTGAGGTACTAGACGAGGTTACACCTTTATCATGGTAGAGTAAGTACTTCATCCTGCCTCGCTGCTGCCACAACCCGTCTACTTCCACAACCCGTGTACTGTCCACACCCATGTACTGCCACTGCCGTCGTACACTCCCCCACCCTCATTTCAGCACTCTTTTTCCGCTAACGTGCGCCAAGTGGCAACGACCTACAGCCTCCGTCACTACCTTCCTCTCTCTTCCCCACGACCCCGACCACTGCCCACGACCTTGATGGTGAACTATCATCTGCGTCCATCGCGAGAACCAGTTGTAATATACCACTGCAGCATCATCCACCACTGCTCCACCTAGCATCATCCACCACTGCACCACCTAGTATCATCCACCACTGCACCACCCAGCATCATCCACCACTGCCACCCCGCATCATCCACCACTGCTCCACAGCATCATCACACACCCCGTCATCACCTACCACCTATCATCACCACTACGCATCATCCACCACTGCACCTAGCATCATCCACCACTCACCTAGCATCTCCACCACTGCTCCACCTGTATCATCCACTTCATCCACCACTGCACCTATCATCACCATCATCCACCACTGCACCACCCATCATCCACCACTGCACCACAGCATCCTCCACTGCTCACCTATCTGACCCATGGGAAGTGACCCAAGTGAAATTTGAATCATGAGTGTGAGTGAGAATGTGGCAACCTCCTCGCCATAGTGCCTCGTGTCATTGGAGCGTGCTAGAGGCAGTGAGAGCACTATAGTGCAGTGAGGTAGGGTAAAGGTACCAGACAGGAGTCGACCCTCCACCCCAGCTATGACCATACCTGTAGCTGTCCGTTCTGAGGAGTATTTAGTGCTTGGCTGTGCTGGGTCCTTTGAGTTCCCTGTGGCGACGCCTTACGAAACACACTGGTGCAGAGGTGAGAAGCGGGCCTTAAGATTTAGCCGAGATATAATTTATGAACTGATCATTTGTGTTAAGTATCTACCACTGCCTTCCTTCATGACTTAAAAAATGTAGTAATACTTGACCTAATTTAACGTGTTGAGTAGTTAACCACCACCTGGACACACAGTTAGTTAATACATTACTGTTCACTTACCAGAATTTCGTGTTGATCATGTGGGTGTAAAGGTAATATGTACTGCACAAAACCCTATCACTTAACCTTACTATTGAAGTATATTGTTTATTCCCGTTTTTGTGCTTCAGTTTACACGATATATTTGTATGAGTCAGGTCCTATGATATTAGTGTCTGTGTTTCTTAAAGCCAGCTGTCGAAAGAAGTCCGATAATAAGTTGGTCTCTTTCGTCCCCTCTTGTACCTTGTGGAGAGAGAGAGAGAGAGAGAGAGAGAGAGAGAGAGAGAGAGAGAGAGAGAGAGCTGTGTGTGTGTGTTTCAAGAGACTAACTAAAGGCTCACCTAGTCAGTCCACCAACTAATACTTAATATAACTTGATACATAACCTTGGAGGGCACAATCACTCATCACTCCCAGGTGTATGATAGAGGTTAATTAGCGACTGTTGTGGCAGGATGGTGGCATTGGTCTTCAGAGGTTCTAGTGATTGCTGATGACCGACTAATGAAGAGCCTGAAATTTTACAGCTGTTTACCGGAATGTGGTGATGAGTAACAATAGCTTTATTTTAATTGTTTTGGCCTCATGCTACGTAAAACAAAAGTTAATAAACAAATAATGGTCAAAATACGTTATATATTTCATTGTCTCTCTTTAAACCATGAAAATATATCACAAAAACTGAAAATCTATCAATCTCTTCAATTTTACTTCAGCTCTTTGTTATTATTACTGTTCGGTATTTCCCTCTCCATCAATTTTACGTCAGTGTACATAGTGAACTTTTGTCTTGTTCTAAAACACACGTCGATCACTCATCTTTTATTTGATCGCTGAACCGCTACCTCAGTGTGTAAACTTGTGGTGGAGGTACGGGCTTAACCACCTTTTGACAGCTTTCTCTTATGGACCCTGGCAATACAGTGTGTACACCTTCTATGTGTTGACAAGGAGCTCTTAACTGTATGGGAAATTGTAGACTTGGTTAAAAGGTATTTCTCATGGTACCTGTGTAACGTAAGTTGTCTCATCCTTACTGTATTCAGGTTGGGGTGTACTGTACGTCATACTATAGAGGTGTATAACGTGTATAGTTGTTTATGAAGGAGTATATAATGTAATTGATAATAAATGAGGTGTATTTAATTTGTGTAAACGGGAGATGTATAAAACGCCAGTAGAGGAATAAGTAGGATGTGGCATCATTAGTGTTTACCCTGAAGAGTGTGAGTTAGGGCGAGGTGGTGACGTGATAGCCTCCTGGTATGTTGATTCGCGTAGATGGTGTTGACTCAGGCCAGGTGGTGTGAGGTCATGGTGTTTACCCTCTTGGTTCTTTGACTCAGCTGTACTCGTGGTGTCTAGTGGTGGTGGGTACTCGTGGTGTTGATGGCACCAGTCTCTCTCTCTCTCTCTCATTAGTGATCGTCACACGCTTTACAAACTCCTATTTCATCCCCCACACCTGCTGGCACCACTCACAACATGCAACACAGTCCCTCCCTCTTGTCTAACTGTTAAAGAACCTCTGTTTACTCTCTGAGATTTGTGGCAATTAACGTGAGGCAGCAATGTGTGTGTGTGGGGTTTTTTTTTTCGTAAGTCTTTTCATATTAATATTCATATGTATTTATTCATAGTGTATTATTTATTTGTTGATTTTTTATCGGATTGCTTTTGACGCCTTAGAGAGAGAGAGAGAGAGAGAGAGAGAGAGAGAGAGAGAGAGAGAGAGAGAGAGGAGAGAGAGAGAGAGAGAGAGAGAGAGGAGAGAGAGAGAGAGAGAGAGAGAGAGCAGGTGCAGGTAGCAGGATAGCGCGACTGATTCATCGTCCTGGGTGGGAACCTTTCGACTGACTGGGGTGGTGGATGGACTTAAAGTAGTATTTAGGGGAGATGATCTTTGGTTTTCATGACCGAATAAATGGTGGCTGTGGTGACTTATTATTATTATTATTATTATTATTATTATTATAGCTGTTGTGTATATTTTTTAAGTGCTTTTTGATATATTTGATTATTATTTTAGTCCTATACTAATGCATCTCTCACAAAGAAAGTAGATACTTTATTACTATATTGTTGTCAATTGTATTACATGCGGACAGAGAAGGTGGGAGAGACAGCGAGAAGGGGGGGGGAGAGGGGGGGAGATAGATAATCATTATCAATTTGCTCAAGACCATTGGGAGATGAGAGCGCATGTGGTGGTGCGAGATCCTCATTTAGCGATAGTTAAAAGATCGTCACTCCGGATATCCTGACATGCGTGCAGCCCGCCTCTTGCTCTCAGATAACAGACGCCGATGAGTCTCTTACCGGTCACGCGAACTCTCTAGTCTTCAATATTTGTGACTCAAACCCCAAGGTCTACCAGCCATGACGGTCTGGCCGTATGTGTGTCGGGCTGGTAAAGATGATGTAGGTGTGTGTCCCATTTTTATATAGATGTTTATTGTGGAGTTTGTGTGTTTTTGCGGATGTTCTCATAGTCTGTTATTAAGTTTGTGTTGTTATCACTAAGGTGGATATGTTTCTCCGTTGTGGCTAACTTTTGACACACACTGTAGTTGTATCCATGGTGTGTTTTTTGCCGTGTTGTATTTGTTTTCATTTTGTCTCCCATTCCAAGAACCTTAGAAGGGATAAGGGGGGGGGCTTGGATCAATAGGTTTATGCTTATAGTCACGGATTTGTTAAATCGATTCGTCCTCTAAATTTTCAAAGAAATTTCACATCATTTTGGTGTAAAATTAGTGATTAATGGTAGAGTCGCCCTCACAAGTCTAGCCATCTCCTGAATCACGAACCTCAGACTCGTGAACCCGAAGCATTTATGGACGGAATAATGCACTAGTGTCTGCTGCTTCGGGTTCACGAGTCTGAATCACGGGGATCGTGGAACATCAGGAGAGGCGACAGGACTTGGTGGGTGACTACAAGGCCAGGTGATGTATCCAGACAGTCAGCTTCGACGATCGATGGGAGATTTTTCTGCCCTACAGTAACACAGAGTAATAAGAGTATCAAATCGTACAGTTGTTTAAATCTGTCTTCTTCCCACCTCATCTTACTGT